GACTCTGCCTGAATTCTGAGAATCACTTAGAGTTATAAAAATCATTAGGGACAACAGTTCTGATTTGAGCTAAGGAGAATGTTTTAATTTCTGCTGAAGTAAAGATAGTTCTTCAGCCTTTCAAATTCTTTCAAGTCCTCAAAGCTTATATAGAACCTTCAAACATAAAGGGAACTTGGAGAGCATCCAATTAAATACCACATCTACACACAATTCAGCATGCCTGACCGAAAGCCACTACTTGGATACCTGAAGTAAGTAAGCTCCAGCTTTCTAGCTTATGAAACAACCTCTCCATTCCTGTTATTAGGAAACTCTGGTTTTAATATAAACCATTTTACTTTGTAAGGTAAATGTTTTTTTCCCCTATGCATTTCACTAATTGGTCCTACTACTACAGTAACATAGAACAAATCTATTATGTTTACTCTATAACAGTTCTTTGAAGGTTTAAAGATAGTTATAATGCCTTCCTTTAGATTTCTTTTATCTAGGCCTAAATATTCCCAATGTGTTCGTTCAGTCGTTTCTTGAATAATGTTTTCCAGGCTTTCTCCATCTGGACCCTCTTCCAAGAAAGGCATTTGTCAATTCAATTTAATAAACATTTATTAATTACTCATGTGCAGTATGATGTGCAAGGCTATGGATTTTTTAAAAAAATGAAAACAACAACACAGTATTTGACCTCAGGGAGCTTACATATGGAAATGAGACATGTATTCACGAAAATATGATAGAAGGTAACAAGATAATGGTACAGAAGACACAAAGTGTTTGGAGAATATTTGAAGGGGGGTATAATTTTGAGTTGAGAAGATTAGAACACCTTTGAGAAGGTGGCAGCAAGATTATTTCAACAGGAGAAGGTGTAAACAGAATATGATCTGTACAGATGCATGATGGGTAGAAGAGAGTAAGAAACAGGGTGGGGAATAGAAGGTGAAAGGAAAAATCAAGTAATAGTCCATTTGGCTATAATATAAATTACATGAAGGAAAATAGTAGGGAACAAGGATAGAAACATAATATGGAGACAGATTGAAGAAGGTATGAGATTTGCCAAGAAGTGTGAATTTTATTTCCTAGGCAACAGAAACCTGGTGAAAATTTCTGAGCAAGGGATTAAAATGCACAGAACCATTGATTAGCAAAATTACTTAGGAAGCTGTGTGAAGGACAGATTGAATGGGGGTAAAGACTGGCAGGAAAGAAACTCATTTAGAGATGGTCACAATCCCACCCTAGGAATTATACAGTAATTTAAGAAACCATGTAAACCCCTTGGAAATAGGGAGCTTCAGTTTTTGTATTTGTCTTTCCAGCACTTAAGTAGGTTTCTAATAAGTGCTTATTGATTGAACAATAGATTAAGAATGATGATAAGGACCTGAATTATGGTAGTTGCACTATGAAGAGAGAGGAGGTAATGGATATTAAGATGTTATGGACAAAAAAATTGACAACTTAGAAATCACTGCATTTATACAATGATGGGATACTGAGGCAGAAATAAGGGAAGCATCAACAACTAGGAGAATGTGAACAACAAAACTATACAATTTGTCAAGAGGAGCAGTTTGTAGGGAGAAGACGATGAGTTCATATTGGGACTTGAGTTAGAAAAGCTAGCAGGGCATCTAGAAGGCAAGTTGAATGTAGTTAAGGGGTGTGGTTAATGGAAAGATGTGATCTGGATAGATAGGATCAGGAGTCATGTGACTAGAGATGATAACAGAAACCATGGGAGTGGGTGAAACAGTAAAGGGAGAGAACGTTTAGAGAGAAAATAACAGGGCCAAAAAAAGAATCTTGGAGACACTCATGCTAGACAATGTGAAGATGAAGCAAAGAGGGAATGGTCAGACTGGGAGAAGGAAACCCAAGAGACAACAGTATTATGAAAGGTAGAGGAGAATATGAGAAGATAGGAGTGGTCAACAGTGTCATTGTCCCCCATGTGTCATCTGACTACTATAGAATACAGGGTGATTTTGTATGGGGTTCCCTATTTTGCTTATTCTCCTTAGCTCAAGTCTAAGGTAATTACACATTAGTTATTTGTCATTCATGGTCTATTGACAATTGATTTGTTTAGACTGAACCAAAATGAGCACTTCAATAGGCACAGTTACCTATAATTGATTAGGCTTCTTGCATGAGTATTTTAACATACTCAGTGTTTATATGATATAGTTAATTGTTTCTAAGCTACAATTAATTTGGGGTTTATTTTTTAGTTACTTGAACATTTTATGTAATTTTAAATTTCTCATAATATGAAAAAGTAATAACTTTTATAAACTCATTTCCTACCATAGTCATAGTTAGGAAATGTCCTTAAAGATAGAACCTTTCAGGGGCAGCTAGGTGGCCACAGTGGTTAAAGCACTGGTTCTGGAGTCAGTTGTATTCCTGAGTTCAAATATGCCCTCGGACACATAACACTCACTAGCTGTGTGATTCTGGGCAAGTCACTTAACCCCAATTGCTTCACTGCCCCCCCCCCAAAAAAGAAGATAGAACCCTTCAGTAAAAGCAAATAAATTTAATCCCATTGGATATATTGAAATTTGAATTAACATACAGGAAGTTTTCTTTACCTCAGAATCAAGTATCAAATATTGCCACTAAGGGTTGTTGCTTTTTTTTTTAATACAAAACCAAATACATGACCATTGTAAATTAATTTTAGCTTTTATTCCCCAAATTTTAATTATTTTATCTGATGGTTTTCTTGAAATATACTGAAAAATTTAATCATTTTTTTTTCCAAGATGGAAGTGGGATACTTCAGCTACTCTGTGTTTTAGGTTAAAAAATGTTAAGAGATTTTTGATAGTCTTTAGAATATTGACTTTCCCAATGAATAAGTGATAAATCATGGTGACTGTCATACTGCTACTAATCTTATGCTTTCAGATGAATGCACTTATATTCTAACTGGCAAGGGGAAATCATACATGAAATATAGGTGGCTCGGTATGTACTGGGTTGGTTTATATTGAATCACCACTTGGCACTGTTATATGAGTTTAATAAGTCAGTTACACAGATTTAATCTTGGCATAAAGAAATTAAACCTGAACATGCTAATGCACTTGATATTCTAATGCTTTATTTTAAATCTGCATAAATATGTTTAACATATAAAAATACAATTAGACATTGAGATTGGTATATTTTAAAATATGTGAATGTAGGTTTTTTTCATTATTAAATTCTTGATTCTATATGAAGTTTTTGAGAATGATATAGAGTATTTGGGGATAAATTTATCAGAAAGTGAAAATTCTAGCATTACAATAGGAAACTGAAAAAAGCATTGAGAGAGCTTTTTAAGTATTGTTCTAGAATAGTATAAATGTCAAACAATTGAATTCACATCCATAACTTTTAAAAAAGTCATTCATAGTGTTGTTCCAATGTATTGAAGAAAACATGGTATTTGACTAATTTACTAACTTATAAGATATGCAAAAGTATATATTCCGTTATGGCCTTCAAAGCCAAAGAAGGCCCTGATTTGAAGTAAAAGTGATTGCATGTAATGGAGGTTGGAAGTCCTTGGGTTCCAGCCCCAGTTCTGCCACTTCCTAGTTGTATAAACTAGAATAAGTCACTTACCCTTTTTGGGTTTTATCTGTAAAATTTGAAGATAGGCCTATAATACTTCCAAAGTTCCTTTCACTTTCAAAATTCTGTAAGGTAATTAAAGAAGCTTTGAAAAACCCCCAAATACTGTACAATTACTACCACATTGCATTGACCCTTAAATTCCTATAACTGCTTTAAAATTTGAGGTATTAAACAGATTTACTCTACATTTTGAAACACAGTTGGTCTTGGATCAATTGTATGCAGATGCACTTCCCCCCCCCACCCCCAAAGCCCACCCCAACTTTTAAAGCTGTGGAGGTAACTAAAATAGTTGACTATGGTGTAAGTGAAGTTGAGACCTCCTAAATGTATTGCACCATTCAGCTCAGTGATTTTTCATTTGGTTGTATTTTAAGTACTGCAAAGACTGAATCAAGAAGGTGTATTCTTGCAATCTGAGTAAAGTTTTGGGGAGGAAAACCTTTTGTTTTGAGGTGGGTTTTTTTTGTAATTTTAGGTAAGAGTTTGGTTTTTTTTGTTTTGTTTTTGTTTGGTTGGTTTTGTTAAAGAAGGGAACAAAGGAAATTAAATGTAAAAATCTGTGCTGAAATAAGATTGTGCCACAAACCAGAAGATAACAAGAAATTAATTGTGGTTAAAAACATTATTTTTTTCTCTGTTAGCCTTTTTTCCACTTTAGACTTTGAATGACAGTCTGATTTAACTATTTTCCTTTTTTCTGGCAGTACCAAAATTGATGCAAATTCTGGAAGTATTTATTCCTTGGAAATACATATTTTGATGTCCCTATTTCTATTTTATGTATCGATATAAATGATCACTAATTATAAGTAATAAGGAAACTTTTGTGTGCTTGTAAAGATGGGAAAAATATGACTGGAAAGAAACAAAAGATAAGGGAAAGCAAGCAATTGAAAAACATCTGGCATATTTTCATTCTCTCACTGTATAAGTACAGGGTTAGAAGTGCCCCCCCCGGAAGCCAAGCCACTTCTGGGCAACTGACCTTGAATTAGATTTGTGGGGACAGTGGAAACTTCATTTGAATTGCTGTTCTTCTTGGTTTGTGTGATAATCTTAAATTTTCTAACAAGTGTATTTCTTCATATTAAAATATGCAAACTATAGGAAGGATCTTTTAAGAAGCACTGTACTAGCATGCTCTTATGGGGATGTCTGATTTCCTGACTAACATTTTAGGAATTTTTACTTCTAATAAACCATGTAACACAGACTCATGTATTTGGGGGCTGTGGAAATGATTTCTGTTGACCCTTTTTTCTGCATATCATCAATTTGCTTTTTACTCATGTTTCTCCTATTGTCGCTGTAAGCTTACTTGTTGTTTTTTCTTTCCTTTTCTTCATGCTGTCGTTTAGAGCCCTACAGAGAGACAAGTATGGGAGTAAAGCTAAACATTGCATATCAAATGTAATTTTTTTTAGTTCACTTTTATTGCATCACATATAGATGATGTAGTTATTAAAAACAGTTCATCTCACAATTTTGAAACCAAAAGAATAAAAAGCTTATGAATCTACTTATCTAAATATATGTGAATATAGATTAGACGCTTTTATTGTCTGATTCCTTTATTTGTGTCACGTAATCAGCATAGTTCTTGAGTTTCATATAATTGTCTGTGTGAGTTAAATTGTTTTTAAATTAAGTATTTTTTAAAAGTAAGTCATGAACTTTCATTATTTCAAAATGGCACATTTCATCATAAGACTATGTTCTGTTTCAAGTTCAGTGCACCCACTTTATTTTGCTGTGGCAGTTTCCAGTCTGCAATTCCATGCATTGACAACATAAATAACAAGCAGGGTTTCAATGCATAAGTCACCCAACCATAATCATCCAACATGCTGTCACAGACTCAGCAGCAGTAGCCACCCATCACATACAGTCCTTTAAAAACATTTGCTTTTTGTTTCTTCTTAACATTGTGAATTGTCTGTGAGGTATTTTCTAACATGAAAATAAATAGCTTCATTCTATGTCTGTGATGCCACTGATTTCAGGCCTTTGCTGTTGTTTTTGAAATGTCTGTTGTGAGAATTCAGAGGATGCATCCGGAATCCATGATACAATTGACATATTCAGGCCACTTCACTGCAACTGTCAACTGGACACTGTAGAGTACAGTCCTAGATAAACAAGAGAACTGCATCACAGATATAGAATGAATGCTCTATTTTCACAAGGTAGCAGTGCATTAAGGAGTTTCTACAATGATGTGACCCCTAACCAATATTTGCAGTCAAGAAAGCCACCTGTTCCTACCTTTATTGGCTCAGTGTTGTTTGTGATCATTTCTGGTAGTTGCATTTTAATTCTTTTACCAAGTAATATATATATGGAAATGTCATGTTTCTTAGATATCTATTCATGGATGATAAAACTCACGAAGATGCATGGAGCTATACTTAGCAGCTTCCTTTATAATTAAGGAATTTCATAGCAGCTTTTTTCTTCCAAGAAAATATATTCTGAGTGTCCCAAAAGTTTTAGTGAAGATTTAAGGTCAAGTGGTTCTTAAATGCATTAAGACTTTTGGGACACCCTATGTATATGTTAAATGACCTCCACCAAATTACCTTCAGTTCAAATGTTTAAAAGTCAATGAGTGCTCTATCAGGGTTTAAACTGAGCTTTTCATATTGATACTATGTTGTTGATAATTGGGTATCCATATTGCCCCTACCTTCTTTTTGAAGCAGTAGCCTAATTATATTGAAATATTCAAATGGATCTGACCTCATTGATAAAGGTATTCCCTCCAATGATGCAGATCACCTTATCCATTTCTGCCCATTCTATGTGATATTTGTTTATGATCTCCATAGGGCACTACCCAAAATGCTGGGGGGGGGTTCCTTAATTTCTTTTGATAATGTGAACATACCAATACACCCTAAATAATAACAGTGGGTACAACATATGTTAACCATGAAGGTGCCTATTATCCCCCCTAAAAAAAAAACCAACCAAATCCATATAATATTTTTTTTAAAACCGACAAAATAGTAATCTTTTGATGTCACATCACAAGCATCATCTTAAAATTTAAGGCAACAAATAAAATAAATGTTAAGGATGTGTTATTAAACTTGATGCTTATAAATTGATGGCTATCAGATGTCAATACCAAAAGTATTAACTGTTTCATTTTACAAGTTATTACTAAATTCATTATGGATGGAAATATTGAGTTGTTATCTATAGTCTTTTTATCCATTTTCAAGGTTTATTTTGTTTTTTAAAAAAATTTAGAATGGTATTAGTTATCCAACTATGTATGTGTATATATGTGTGTGTGTGTGTGTGTGTGTGTGTGTGTATATGTATATTTATTTATACACACATACTTATCTGTATCATATGTCTCTATAAATAATTTGGATCTCAGTAAAATTATAGTAAACAAAAATGTAATTCTATATGTATCCCAAATGAACTGCTGGATACAAATGTCAGCCTCTTTTTCTTTACTGTTTTTCAGAGGGGCTTCTGAACAATGCCAGGGATACAAGTGTCATGGATACTCTACCACTGAATGGTAACCACGGCAATAACTACAGCATTGCCAGCAGCGAGTACTTGAGCAACTGTGTGCAAATCATTGACCGTGGCTACAATCATAATGAGACAGCCCTAGAGAAAAAAATCCTGAAGGAACTCACTTCCAACTATATCCCTTCTTATCTGAACAACCATGAGCGCTCTAGTGAGCAGAATAGGAACCTGATGAACAAACTGGTGAATAACCTTGGCAGTGGGAGTGAAGATGATGCCATTGTCCTTGATGATGCCACCTCCTTCAACCATGAGGAGAGTCTGGGCCTGGAACTCATTCATGAAGAGTCTGATGCCCCTTTGCTGCCCCCAAGAGTTTATTCCACAGAGAACCACCAGCCACATCATTACACCAGAAGGCGGATCCCACAAGACAACAGTGAGAGCTTTTTCCCCTTGCTAACCAATGAGCACACAGAAGACCTCCAGTCACCCAACAGGGATTCTCTCTATACCAGTATGCCCGCACTGGCTGCTATGCCAGGCACAGAAAGCGTTACCACCAGCACCCAGACCGATCCCCCGCCAGCCAAAAGTGGTGATGCTGATGATGTTTACTACAAAAGTATGCCAAATCTAGGCTCCAGAAACCACGTCCATCAGCTGCACACTTACTACCAACTAGGGCGAGGAAGCAGTGATGGATTTATAGTTCCTCCAAACAAAGACGGGTCCTCCCCAGAGGGGAGTTCCAAGGGACCTGCTCACTTGGTCACTAGTCTATAGAAGAGTAAGCAAAAATTTAAGCCAACAAAATCCCTAACACCTGGTTTACTGTTCCGAGTTAATATAAGCAGTGGTAATATTGTGTGTACTCCTAAATCTTTATGCTGTTCTAAAGGGAAAACAAATGGACAAAAATCAAAAACAAGAAACAAAAACTTTCAGACTTTTTTTTTTTACTGGAATTTTTAGGCCAGCCCAGGGGAGAATGATAACTGCTGAAATTCCCCTCTCCCCCTCTCTCTTGTCCTTCCCCCCTCAGAGACTTCATTATGTTAATGAACGGGATATGAAGAAAATGGCACTCTTTGTGGCCTTCTTGAATTAATGCTGTGTTTGTTTAAACATCTCTGATGCTCTGTTACTATTCTAATATGGACCTAATTTTAAAAAGGCCAGAACACGCATCTGAAATTAGTAACAGTAACGCATCTAGATTGGAGTGCTGCACAAACAAACATAACAAAGCAAAACTGTTTATTATCAATCTGTATCACCTAATGGTTTTTGGTCACTCATAACTTGATTTTACCACAGCAGACTTAGCTGTGGGGTAAAACAAAATAAAATCCTAATGAAATGGAAGGGAATTCTAGAATTATATGCTAAATGCATATTTTATGTTTTGCTGTATTAACTGATGATAAAACTAATGGCAGAAAAATTGAACAGTTTCTATGTAATGTACAGATACTAGCATTGCACATATAGTCTGCTTTCCGTTCCTCCAGAACTTGCGTCCCTGTTAATGTAGTGGAAAACAAAAAAACAAAAAACAAACAAAAACAAAAAAACAAAAAAAAGAACTTTCTGTTGTGCTGGTCTTGCAAGTTTGTCTTACCAGTAGGAGCAAGATTTTCATTAGTTTTTTGGGGGCCATTTTTTTTCTTAATATTTCACTGGGCAAAATAAATAAACAAGAACTATCACTTTATAAGGATCATTTTCTAGTAATACAAACACAAATTATTTTTTACAAAAAAAAAATTGGATCTTCTTCCCTCACTCTGTATCTTTATTCGGTGGCTATATTGCAAACAGGACTTTTGCAGATTAGAGCAGGACAAACTTTATGTTTACAATGCACAGCTGATATAATACAAAGCCAATTGGGCAAGAAGTCCCTCACCAAGGCAGTAGGAATGGATCAAGAAGTTGAGAGGTATCTATAGAAACAGTGAGGACTTTTTGCATGTGAAAATGATAATCTTCTAGGACTAAGGGCACTCCTGGTTCATTCTTGGCTCCTAGATGAGGAACTTGTATTGCAGTTGGTTAAAAGAAATATATTCGCCCATACTACAAATTGAAAAATCCAATTATTTTGATGCGACTAAAAAGAAAATCCTCTTTTCATTACTTTCCCAAAGAGGGAAAAAGTTATTTATTTGACAGGATTTTAAGTAATGTAGGATTTCAGGAGGTAAATTAGCAGCACAGATTATAATTTTTTTTAATTTATGATCCATTTTGTATGGTCTCAAAGTTGAATGACCTCATTACTAATATTTGTTGTAAAAGTGAAACTTGTTTGCCAACCAATAAACAACTGATTAAGATTTAGAAGATATTGTATCTATGTATGTACAATTAATCATTCATCCTCTTTTACTTTCTTTTGCCTTTTTCCCTTCTATTTTCATATATGAAACTAGTGGATTTGCTAATCCTCTAAGGCACAAGTTAACCATGCAAAAGAAAAAACTCCCTGGCTAAATAACTTAAGCACAAAAATTAAACAGCTGTGGCAGATGAAGGAAACCAGAAAAATGGGTTGGTAATGCTTGTGTAGGCTGAAACAAAGGGAACAAATTCCCATTCTAACAGGTTATATATTGGTGTGTTATATGCCTATTATATAAACCACATTCAATCAAAGATTTTAAAGTATAGTATTTCTTTGGTTGTACAAGTTTTCTCTTTTGTAATCTCCAATATGTTAGCTATAGATCAACTTGTTTGTAAAAAGCTGCTAAAAATTGTGGCAAAGAAAATATAAACTTGCAGCAAGCTCCTCTGAGATTATGTTTATGATAACTTAGGGGGAAATGACAATTAAATTCTTTCGGAGAAAGTCTCGGGGTCTTCAACAGCCCCAGAACCTTCATCAACAACACATAGGCATTAAGCCCAGGAAGATTATGAGGGAAATGGGGAGGATTAGGAAGAATTTGAGTATTGCTATTTGTTATATACATAATTGTGGAAAACTTTCAAAACCTAAACCCTGTTCAGCTAGAATTTCATGTCATAAATCAAAACAGAGACTATCATATACCTTAGACTTAGATGACTTACACATCATTTAAATATAACAACAAAGGCTCTTAGCTAGTGTATAAGATGATTCTGATGTCAGTTGCAAAAGTCTAATTTATGCATTGATCTTTTCAATCATTTGGGCTGGGGCATATATATATTTTTTCTAAATTGAAGAACAGAATAATAATTATATAATCTCAAAAAAATTATGGCAATATTAGCACCTGAGAGGTATTTAGCCCATCAGGTATAAAGGATGAAATTTGACTCTGATGAAAACCCATTTAGCATTCTTTAAGGTAACTGTAGAAACTCAAGTGTGGGTTGCAGATCTTAGATCTGACACTTGGTTTATCAACCAAGAAGCAGTCTATGTAGGCACAAACTGGTCTAGGAGAAGCTTGTTTCATAAGACTAGGGGAAAGCTACCTCAATTCAGCTTGCTGATACTGCCAATTCTGGTTTTCAGATGTTGCTACCTCCATGTTATCTTTTTTTTTTGTCTTCTGTTAACTGAAATTTGAAACAGGTAGCCTACCCCAGCTTGACATTGACCAAGATGAAGAAAGGCTATTTTGTTTTCTCCACAAGTGTAAACTGGTGCAGAAGATCACCCAATACTGTCAGTTACTACCATCAATATAAATGGGCAAGATTTTTTTAAACTCTTCTACATCTTTGTTGAGGGTGTGTTTTCAGAATGACTTATTAGCAAGAACCCAAAGACATTCACAGGAAGAAATTGTTACATAAATTTTATGTAATTATGTTGAAATCATTGGTAGATAAAGCAATTAATTCTACCTACCTTTGAAGAGAAGACTGTGTATGTATGTATGCATATGTGTATATACATACATACATATATATATATATATATATATATATATATATATATAAATAAGTTGGATAACTAGCTTAGCTATCAAGCCCTGTGACAATGACAAAGTTTTCATTTCCTTAGTTTCCACTTTTGATTCAATATGCATTTCTATCTTCTACTGATTTGAAAGTTTTGGAGTTTTAGGGTTTTTTGTTCTTGCTCTCTAGTCAAGTCAACAAGCATTAAGCATCCACTGTGTGCTGAGCACAGTACTAATCCCTCTGATTTTTATAGTCTTTTGAATAAGAATGTACCCTCAACACATTTTACTTTATGTCTCAACTGGAGAGGGAGGAGTGATTTTCAGTCAAGAGGAAATTGGCATAAAACCCAAACCAAGGTACTTCTGATGTTATGCTGATAATTAGAAGTAAAAATCATAACTATCTAATAAACCAATTGGGTTTTATTTTCACATTTGAATCATTTATGACATTTTATACTTCTTGAACATGGTTTAATTTTCTCTTTCAGAGTTAGTTTCACCTCATTGGACACCAGTAGATTGAGAATGCAAATTAATTGCTACATAAATGGATGGTCTCTGAAAAACATCACATTACCAAATGTTGACATTTGGAGAACAGTTGGTTAGAATTCCCTTGCATGCTACTCCTAGTGTGCAAAATTAAACCTTTTAGCTATCCCAATTTATATCTGAACCATAAAATCTAAGACCCCTGAATGTGAATTTACAAACATCTAAGCTTTCAGTAGCAATATTGAAAAAATACAGATGCAAACGTGCATGTACACTATTTAAATGTGGACATGAAAACTCCTTAAAGTAATATTATATATAATATGTATGTATATGTATATATATATAAAATTATTTAAAGAGGAAAAAATTTCAAAAGTCACAGAGTAATGAAATGATATTTGACCTAAAAATCATCACAAAGACCCACCCAAAACTTTATTAGTAGTATATATGTCCAGGGGATTGTACCTAGATAGCCTCTGAAGTTCCTTCTAGCTCTAATCTGTGATATATTCCTTGATCCCATTAAAACCTACAAAATCCATAAATAAAGGAAATTGGATTTTTTCTCTTTCTTTGTGAGGCAGTTTAATTTTTAATACTGTACATAAGGAATGGAGGGCTGGTCTTGAAGTCCGAAAGATCCAACTTCACATCTAGGGATTGATATACCCTAACTTTAACGACCCCAGGGAAGTCATTTAACCTTCCAATCCCCCTAAGTAACTCTCTCAGATTGTAAATTAAAGAGTTGCAAATAAGCATTAGTAGAAGTTGCCATACTGAGTGTCTCCCAGTATGATGAATGCACAAGTCTAAAACCACTAACACTACTACCAGTGCTACAAATACTTTTTTTAAAAATTTGTGTATAAATTATCAATAATTCATAATTAGAAATAACATAAAATAAGTAGAGCAGTTCAATGGATCTGTGATCTCACTGCATCCTATCTATGCTCTCTCATCTTGTTTGTCAATGTCTTTCCATGGGGGTCTCCTTCAAGTTCTCTCAACATTACATGGATAACAGCATATTTATATATTTATATGAAGTCAGTTATTTTCAATCTAATCACCAGTAAGACTTTTACCAAAGTGATGGACAAGAAGAAATTAGCTTATTTGACACTCATTTTGACATGGATATTTTGGGGACGAGACCAACAAAGGAAAAAGAAAAAGGTAAGGAACTTGATAATGTAAAAATGGATTATTGGTTTCTAACTAGGTAATTACCAAATGTAGGATGGTACAATGGAAAGAGCCCTGGATTTGGAGTCTGAGGACTTTAATTCAAATCTTAACTGTTATTTGGGCAAGTAATTTCTCTGGCTTGTTTCTTCTATCAAATAAGGGGGTTAGACTATGTGAACTGTAAGACCTCTTGTGGATTTAAATCTATATTTCTATAAATACTCCTGATTTAGTGTAATATTAAATTTTTAGCTGTCTATTAACACTGTAATGTAGGTAAAAATGTATAAATGTTTTGAATTTTTTGGCAGAATGCTGCAAAGCTGTTATGTCAATTCATATTTAGAAATCAGAAGAGAAATATGCATATTGTAAGCACTCCTCCAAATTTGATATTAATATTCTTTTTTTCTATAATGAAAATATTTGGGGAAATATTATATCCTAGTAATATAAAATTTATATACCATCTGGCACATTGTATTGTTTAAGTATTCAGATCAAATTAAGTTCAGTAATCCAGAATTATAAATCAGTTCCTTGGAGTGGGTGATACTAGCACATTTTTATACAATACTGATTATTAAGACATGCCACAACACTATTAGCTTCTTTTCAGCATACCTTAGGTTAGATTTCCTCATTTCCAGGGATCAGATAGGAATTGAAAAGCACTAAAGTCAGGAGACAACATTGCAGAATATTTGCTTTGAAGTGGCTTTATGTTGATGATGTTCTGTGGAAAGTTTTCTGTTAAAGGCCTCAAAATAGGTCATGTAGTTTTGGGGACTTAACAGGACTCCCTCCACTTCTCCTGACTACACATATCTGTTTCCATTGGAAATTGGTTTTCCTCCCTAGATTCAAGGGAAAGAATCATTGAGATATGCAGCTTTCAGCCACACTTTTGCTTTTTCGGATGTCCTAATTTCTCATATCTGTATAGCTTGGGGAAGAAGGGCTAGCTTCTGATATTGCAAACTGTATGATTTTGCAATAGTGAAGTACAACAAATGTTTAGGCATTATATAATCTTATTCACAAACTGTTTTGCATCATTTAATGACAAAAGGAAGAACAGCACTTTTCTAAAAATAGGTGACAACTTTAAACAGAACTAATTCAATTCTCTGAAACTAAGGTATGTTCTTTTGTCTCAAATTACTTTTTAGATTAGCAAACATATTATTTTCCTGTCACTTCATATCCATTATTGATTTTTCAAGGTAAAATTGACCTATGATCAAGAAGATAGATGAAAACAACACAGTGGACTCATGGGAAGAAATCAAAGAACAGCATTACAACTGTTTCTGAGGAAATAATCTCCACTGAGATATGCAATTATCTACAGAACAATGCTTTTAAAAAAAAAACCAGAGCATTAGGATGTGAAGTGGATTAATTGATGGGACATGGTGCCTGAATTAGCAAAAGAATGATCAGTCTTTCCAATATTATTCCTTCAATGTAGCCACTGATTCGTTCAAAAGAGTTCTCTTATTCCCTGAGCCCCACTTTTAGCATTATTCAGATAGTGCTTATCTTGAAGATCTTAACAGTTTCCAGATAATTCAGATAATGTTAAGAGCATCTATGCCTTCTCATCAAAAAAGACACAACTAAGAAAGGCATTTGTTTACATTACTGTAATATTACGCCACAATTAATAATGTTGATGGGCTCGTTCCTCGTCCGTGCCCTTATGAACACCGCATGAGAACCGAGTAGTACAATTTTCT